ACTGTCTGAGAAGTATCTAAAATGCTTCCTCTATCTACCGGAGGTATTAGTGATTGCTATTGGGCGGCAAACATCCGCAATTTTGCTCAGTGACTTCCTTTGGAGTATGAGGTTCTTTTACGTGCCGTAAAGCTACGACACGGGACCCAGGGCTTAAAGTCCCTCCCGGAGGACTTGTTCCCTGAATTTTTCAGCCCTTAAAAATTCGACGACCTCCGCCGGGTATTTGAGCCCGCGTACTACGAGTCATGAGGTGGGAACGTTACATCTAGACTACGGAGGCCGCTTTCCATGAGCAAGTAAGTAAATCATTAGGCAACAGCACAGTGCATCTTCAGGATAGTCTAGGTAGCAGACATGCATGAGAATGATGAAAGGCTGGTTTCAGTAGTAGGCACTGCTAGAGAAATGTTCTACGGACGAGCAGCGTCCTGTCGTGAATTTTTTATGTGGAGGAAAGAAGGACTCAATGCAAAGGAAACACTTCCTGTTTACTGCCGGAAATGTTTGTCATGTAAAGGGGTTCAGAGCTAGGTCGAGGAATTCTCTCAAGGACGATCAAAATTAGAAGATGATGAAAGGGAGGCGCGGAAGTGGCTGAGACAACAGTCAAAAGATTTGTGTGCTGCGGGACAACTGTGTCAATGTGGGCGGAGGATATGTCGAGAAATACATTTTTTATCAGGTTTGAGTATCTTACGTTTTATATCCATTTGTCACCTATTTACTGACTCTCCCCCGTACATACTTCCACAGGAATCGAAGTATAATGACATCAGATTATACCACTCTTATTGGTTTACATTAATTTCTTTTTCCCCCTTGGCACTACAGCCCCAGTGGGCCTAGGCGTACCTCCATGAACGTCTCCGTTCACTTCGGGTTTTCTAGATCTTACACATTCGGTAGGACTCCTTGGGCGGGTGATCAGCCCGTCGCAAGGCCTCTAACTGTACATAAACACAAAAAAACGCACATATACAAACTAAACATCCATGCCCTGTCTGGGATTCAAACTCATGATTCCGGTTTCCAAGCGAGCGAAGACAGTACATGCCTTAGACCGCTCGGCTACCGTGACCGGCTTTTCATTGATTACATGGCTCTAATTCCACTACATTTAGTAAAAGTGACACATTTGTATTCAGGTTACTCGAAAAGTGTAAATCCCCCAAAATCTCGAGATTACAATACTTTCTCGTGTATACAAGGTATGTAGGAAGGTAAAAAATTATGCTTAGACTTAAGCGAACACAACGAAACTGACCATATTTTGATAGATCATCATCATCATCATCATCAGTAATTTGTCAAGACGACAGGTCCACAGTCTTCCAAAACAATTCCTCCATTTAATGCGATCTAGAGCTTTCTCCTTCAAATGACAGTATCCTCTTCTGTCCCCACGGTCATCCAGCATCTTCTTACGTTTTCTTCCTCATCTTCTTGTCACTTCTATCCGCCCCTCTATCTTTCCTTCGGTAACTTCTTTTAGAAGGCAGTTTCTGCGTAAAACATCACCAATCCAATTAGCCTTCCGTTTTCTTATTTCATGTAGGATATTCCTCTGCTCACTGACTCTACATAACACTTCTTCATTTCTCACATAATCGGTCCAACTGATCTTCTCCATCCTTCTCCAACACCACATTTCGAAACTTTCCAGATGTTTCTGATCTACTGCCCTAAGTGTCCATGTTTCGGCCCCATACAGAGCATATATATAAGGTATATACGAAGGTAAAAAAATATGCCTAGACTTAAGCGATCACAACGACAACTGCGCATGTTCCTCTGTCTCCTCCTCGATCTTCCTACAGAAGGGACAGAATTAAAAAACAAAATAGGACATTGGAAGCCTCTACAACTTCATACTCTTTAATTTCCTCTGTTTGATTATACAACATGGCGGACACAGGGGTTTGCTAAGCGAATATAGCGTTATTTGCTCTAGAGATATGAAGTAGCGTGAGGTAATAGATATTCAATCAAGAAGTTCTGGGAAGAATTAATCACCTACTCCTTTGATACGATACGGATCGCAGAGAAAACGATACGATCAACAATTATTCTATTCTTACGTGTGTATTCGTTGCTCGGTAACATTTTTACCGACAAGAGGGATATATATACACAGACTGACGGGAGGGATTTATGAAGTACGCCGTTAAGATTGGCTCCTACTTACGTCTTGGTCTTCCCAGTGGGGTCTTTCCTTCTGGCTTTCTCACCAAAATCCTGTATGAGCCCTCTTCTGTCCAACTTGCTGCTTGCGTCATCAATTTCATCTTCCTCGACTTGATTAATTGTATTTGGCCAAGAGTATACGTTATGAATCTCCTTACTATACAGTCTCCTCCGGCCTCCAGTCACTTCATCTCCCTTCGTTCCAAATATTCTCTTCAGCGCCCTGTTCTCAAACACCCTCAGTCTATGTTCCCCCCTATGTCAAAGATCAAATTTCACACCCACATAGAACCACATGAAAATTGTATATTGTACTCCCGGTATGTCTCTCATAAAAATCCCTATGCAATATACGTGTATGATCTTTCCTGGTTCCCATAATAGACTAAATTGTCCGAACGCTTAATTAATTAAGACCTGACGATGTATTATGGCGTGTAGCTATATCAAACATTTCTTGGTCTCGACACCAGACGAAGGTGAGCTGCTTTACTCCCGGGGACAGGGCCCCACAAACCCACCGAACAATGCTGGCTGGGTCGCAGAACCGCAAAGAAAAATTCTATCCTCTCCAGGGAATCGAACTCCGGCCCACCTACTGAGCTTTGCTAGCCACCTTCGAGGACATCCACATTGCTAAATCAGCAGGCACTTCGGCACGCAGACTTTGTCCTTTGACATTCACAAATGATCACTACAGAAAGAGGCAGGCAATAGACGAATTAGTAACAACTGCGACAGTTCATGACAATGAAACTTAACGGTTTACCACATTCGCCAAAAATAAGCAACTATTGCTGGGTCTCAAGGGGCCTCAGTACAAGGCTCCTCACAATTCTATGCAAGTTTTGAAGAAAGAAAGTTCACAGCTTTCAATGAGGAGTTATCCGTCGCAATTTTAGCACAGAAGATGACGTTTCGGAGGAAAGTAGTACCTCCATTTTCTGGGGCTATTACTCTGCTTGGCTTAATATTCGATTCTGAAATATCCGAACTCTTTTACCAGACTGCACGACGTTATATCCCACTTCAGTCACGCTGTGAGAATCTCACATCCAGCTTAAAACTGAATTAAAAGTGTACATGTACGGGGTGAGTCGGTATAGCGACTAGCAACGGGCTGGTGAGCGGTGGGGTCGGATTTCGAGTTCCGGCAGGGGCGCGGATTTTCCTTTCCCCCTCCCCTAAAACGGTTCTATGTGACGAAAGCCACGTGCGACAGGTAGAGACTACAGTCCAAGGTCTGCTTGCATCTGTTGAGGCACTCCGTTGGGGAAAGTACGACCGTGGGACATACATAAATTAACAAATACATTAAAACTGCGAAAGGCTTGTGGACTTGATGGTATTCCAAATGAATGCCTTAGGCTTCTTCCAAGAAGACCATTGCTACATCTGACACATTTAATTGATCACTGCCTTCGGCTGTCCTATTTTCCAAAGTCTTGGAAGGAAGCAAAGGTTATAACGTTACCAAAACACGGTAAGGACCCAAAATTTCCTCAAAATTTACGCCCGGTTAGCCTCTTGTCTACAACAGGCAAGATATTCGAAAAAGTTATTTTGAAAATAGTCCAAAGGCAAATTGAAGAAAAAGGCCTGATTAATGCATGCCGGTTTGGTTTCCGTGCACGTCATAGCACGACACTTCAATGTTTGAGCCTTACGGACCACGTAACCTTAAATTTCAACAATAACATGTTTACAGCTGCTGTATTCTTGGATACTGAAAATGACCTTTGATAAAACATGGCACACTGGCTTGCTATGTAGATGATCTACATTACAATTTTCGATAAGTTTAATCAAGCTTATTAGCGCTTTCGTTTCTCACAGAAAATTCAGAGTTTCAGTCGAAGGTGAAATGTCTACACCAAGTGAAATACAAGCTGAAGTGCCACAAGGTTCTGTTCTCTCCCCCACACTGTACAGTCTATATATTAACGATACGCCCCGAAACCTAGTGTCTATCTAGGTCTCCTTGCTGATGACACCTGTATATATGCGACAGACCGCAAAGGGGGTTATGTTCTAAAAAGCTGCAGCGAGGCTTCAGTGTTATTGAGACGTGGTGTGATTGCTGGAACATAAAAATCAATGAAGATAAAACTCAGGCAATCTGCTTCTCTCATAGACTTACGCCCCCCCAGACACATCTTACATAGAATGGGCAGAATACCCCCTTAGTCATTCATGTAAAATACCTGTGCGTTATCTTCGATAAGAGGATTACGAGGAGACTACACATAGAAATGACTGAAGCCAAGGCTTTCAGAACATTTATTAGAATCTACTCCCTATTCAAAAGTGAGCGTTTAAACGCAGACATTAAATTATCACTCTATAAGGCATTGATAAGATCAGTATGACTTATGCTTGTCCCGCCTGGGAATTAGCGGCAGACACCTACTATAACTGTCCTCTTATCTCCTCTTCTTGAAGTCACCTTTTTAACAGTCCTTCTCTCGCCTTACCGATTGTTAAACTCAATTATTTTCTTCTCTCTCCCACACACGTTGGTTGCACTTGTAGGTACTTCTTTCTTGTACTAAATTTTATCTCATGGTTATTTAATTTACAGGGGCGTGAGGTTTGTTGATTCGGTAGAATTGGGGGTGTCTTTATCTCAGAGCCTTGAACGGGCCACAACTCTGAGAAGCAAGAAATGAACTACAAAAGCTCATATCAAATTTAGACGAATTATATTACTGAACACTTGTTGAGCCAATTCTTAATACAACTTCAAATCAGTAACTTTTATGTCTTGCTTCTATGAGATCCTGTGTGTAACTTTGACGTCTGATTTCTTCAAGGTCCGGGGTGTGACTCTCTCGACAACTTTTACGTATGCTTTCTGCGGAGCCCGCTGTGCGACTGACTTCGACAACCGATTTCTCCTCGGACTTTCACGTTCTTGTTTCCTCGCTATGGATCATGAAAGAGTAGTACTGTCTAGTGATTATTTGCAGATGCACTGAATATGTTTTTAATTGCTGTCAGTCAATTTTTCATAGCATAAAATCAATTAAATTAAAGAATATGGTTTTACCGTGTCACGTTATGTGTTTAAGGCAGCAGAAGTGAAGATTACATTGCCATGTTTGTTGGTTTTCACATTTTTTGAAATGTATTAATGTTGTGAGTAATTTATTCATATAACACACAAATTCTGCAACCGTGTGTTCTTTTACCATGTTCTGATTCGGTTTTAAGAATGTTATATGAGTATTAATTAATGACAATATGTTTAAAATGCAATAGACGTCAGATTTTAAATGTCTTACTTTATGTATATGAAAACATAGGCACCAAGTGGGCTCTTGTATTACATGATGTATTCGTTGACTTGCTGAATAAATCCGTTTAATTTCAACTTTAATTCACTGTTCTGGTTGCCAAGGGAATACCTTGCATTGAGGCAGTTCTATCTTCTGGGATATTAAGCCTTGTATTCCATGAGACAGAATTAAGAACCTGCATATGCATGTATACACGTAATAATGATTGAGGGCCGCTGATGTCACAGATTCATCCATTACGCACGCCAGGAACTGGAAAAGTTCTGGAAGGATGGCTTCACAGGTTCACCAATCTTGTTGTTCCTTGGCAAAGATCGACACTTCAACACAAACGGAACCATTAGTTTAAAATTCCGGTGAAATTATTGCGAAAAATCCCATTTCCATACATAGGACTTCCATTTCTCCAACCTACTGACAATGACCTTTGATATGTGGAAATATTCTAGGTCCATATCCAGAAATTCTGT